TACAATTGTTCTTGAACTGCTTTCAGAAAAATGTTTTTCTTGGTTACAAACCATCTAACGCCCTCCTTCTTTTACAGTACTATAGGAAGCTTTGCATTCAGTCAGAAAGGGAATTTACAGTTAGGAAGTCAGCTTGTTACTGAAGCTCTCAGCGAGCACCCAAGACACATTTATCCTGCATTTCAGAAACATGCAGGAGTAAGTGTTCACTGTACTAAACCTGAATACTGCACTGATTTCAGCCACAGCAGGTCACCGACATCACTTCAGCAGAAAGACCTGCTTAAGACTAAGTCTGAAGTTCAACCTGACCTGCATTTCCTTTACATACTGTATGTCACTAATACAAAATAAATACCTTTCAGCATAAATTGTATTTCAGGAGCTATTTTGAACTTCCTAGAATGCCCAGGCTCTATGCCACTGTTTGTAACCCCTCAGAAGTCATATTATTTCGTTTAAAGATAGAGCGGGCTAGCTTTGAGCCCTGCCTATTGATGATTAGTTGCACAAACAAGCACTTTTCAAGCTATCCGTAACTTGAGTTTCACCTGCATACCTTAGCCTTGAAACGGGGAACCAAGTTCGTAAGACCTGCACTTGCCCAGGTGTAAAGGTAACTGTCACAGAGCAAAGCAAACAGGCACAATGCCCACTTCCAGCACGAGCGATAAGGGATCAGGTGCTCCCACCCGAGTTACTTCCACGCAATTTATCCCCACTTGCAACTTAGCCCTGCACGGCTACGTTTTAGAGTCACCTTTGGTAAACTGCTGTTTACTAAAGCGTTATTACTGGTTTTCTTGTTGACTTTGTGGACCTCTGCACGCTGTTATCTTATCACATTCAATCCCCAAAGGCTACAAATGCAAGCACACTAATAGGACACATTTCTGCATATTCTAGCAAATTAATCTGGAATCATCTTAAAAGAGCAACCACCTGGATAGCACAAGATAAGCGGACAGCCTTAACCTTTCAGTTTTGCAGAGGTTCAAGTTTTCCTTTCCTTGCACCCTGTGCAGTGGGCTTATATTTACCTAGAACAACCTTCCTGTTCTTCCCAACTTCCACGGAAGTCTTTACAGTACCCTAACCTCGATTCTCAATATTCCTAAATAGTTTCAATAGTTTTTTCCAGCCTCTTAACCGGACATAAAATGCATGCTACATTTGAGAACACGCGAGTTCTATACACATCGCTGATTTGAGCAGGACCCTGCATTTAAAAAGAAATGCATTAATGAGTATTCTGCATTAGCAGAGACACATCTCACACTAGGGAAGCATCACACAGGGCTAAGAGGGACAGCTGATACTGCCCTTTTCTTTCACTCCCTAGCCTATTTTCCCCTTTAACTTAATTAGAGAATCGAGGTTACCTTGCAGTTGCACGGAATACTTCTTGCAATGACTTCTATCACGTTTGCTAAAAAAGACTTCTCTACAAACCTAGGTCCAGATTTTGAAGGTCTGCAAGAACGCTCCCTATGATCACAGGGTAATCAGATCCCTAAACACACACACACACAACTGAAAATCACACAGGATTTATGCAACATCAAGCATCTATAATCTCAGTTACAATGTAGGTCTAACTTGAAGCGTAGGTAGGAGACTTGTGAGCCACCTGAAAGGATAATAAACAGAAATTATTTAAGTAAATTTGAAAATAAACAAGTACGGCTGATATTTATTTAAGTCGAGTATATTTTGAACAAAGCAGAATATTCAGAGGTGTTACGAAGTGTTTCCCTATCCTCTAGCTTTACTGGGGCAGCACAGCAACTACCACACAATAAAGTGGATCTGGGGAAGCAAACTTGTTGGGAAACAGTTTGGTAAAATTAGTTATTTGGGGCTAGATAAGGCGCCGGGCCTGATTTGATATATGATCACGGGCTTGTGCAAAAATTAATGAATAGTTGAGAATAGTGAATAGTGAACAGAGAATAGTGTGGAGAGAGGCTCCCAGGCCAAGAAGAGTCAAAGCCATGCCTTTAGTGCCACTTCAATTACTCAGGGCCACCAAACTCCCACCTGCCGAGCTCCCAGCTGGCACAAAGGCTCCGCTGACCCCGGGGTCGCGTTTTGGGCACACCACCAAGCGCTGGAGCCCGGCGGGCGAGCAGGGGAAGGGCGCTGCTGGCCACTTCACCCCCCCGCGGCTGCGGCCTTGGCCAACTGTCAGGCCATTTACCAACACCGCGACACTTCCACCTCCCTCGCGAGTAAAAACTGGGCGATTTTTATTTATTAAAGGCGAGAAAACCACTGAGAACCAACCGGCCAGAGCGCAGCACCGCCTCCCTCACAAAAGATAGTGGATTTTTACACATGAACAGCAGCAGCAGAGCCCCCACCCCCCTCCCTCCACCCCCAGCTGCCCCCACCCCGGGGTGCCCACAGACAGCGGGGGGGGGACCCCGACTCGAAGCCCTCCCCCCTCAATCCCCGTCCCGCTGCCATGAGGGGCCGCCCGCCCTCCCGCCCGCCTCAACATGGCCACCCCCGCCGCGCCGCGTGAGCCGCCCGGCGCCGCCCGCGCCCCACAGCCCCGGGTGCCAGCGCGGCGAAGCGAGGACAAGCAGGGGATGAGGAGAAAGAGGAGAAAAAGGAGGAGAAGGCGAGGAGGAGGAGGATGAAGGAGGGGGGGGGGAGGCGCGCGGCGGCGCAGCGCTCACCGGCTCCACGGTCGCCATCTTAGGTCGGTCCGGCCGCACCAGCGCCGCGGGGCGGGGAAGGGAAGGGAGGGAGGGGGGGGGGGAGGAGGGAATCCGGCCATGCTATTGGCTGGCCGGCGTCACGTGGGCCCGGCGGCCGTTCAGGGGATGGGAGGGGAGGATGGCGCCGCCGGGCGCGGCGCGGTGGCTGATGGGAGTTGTAGGCGTGGGGAGAGGCGGCCCCCCGGGGCTGAGGGGGGGGAGGGATTTGGGAGCCCCCCGTGAGGCGGTCGCTGTCTCAAATCGCTGAGGGAAGGGCAGCTCGGTGCTCTGCATCGCCTGCTGCTCTTGTTCTGTGTGCCCCGGTTGTTTCGTGCGTTGTTTTGTGCTGCTTTTCGCTGCCCCACATGGATGCGCGGCAGCGTGGTGGGGCTCGCTGCATGGTCACTGCTGCTGGAGGAGACCTCCGGGATCAGCTCCAACCGTCCCCTACCACCAATACACCACCAATAATATCACCTACCACCAATAACACCATGTCCCCAAGCACCACATCCAACCTCTCCTTGAACACCCCCAGGGACGGTGACCCCACCACCTCCCCAGACAACCCGTCCCAACGCCTGAGTGCTCCTTCTGAGGAGAAATGTCTCCTCATTGCCAACCCAAACCTCCCCCAACACAACTTGAGGCTGTTCCCTCCGGTCTCATCACTATTTATCTGTGAGAGGAGGCCGAGGTGTGCTGGAGGAGGGAAGGGAGGAGTGCTGTCCACCCAAAGAATGAGCCAGCTTTGACAATTAAGGGTGCTGGATGCCTGAAAGTTAGGAATAAGCTGACAAGCCCCGGACACCCAGTCCGATCCCCTAGATCAGGGACTCGGTCAAAGCGTGCTGCAGGTCCCCCCAACCCATGTGTCACGGCAGCAGAAGCCAGCAATGTCCGTCCATTTCATCCCAGCACAGAAATGAAACCCAGGGTGTGTGCCAGCGGGGAAGGCACGGGCACCCAACACTACCAGCTGAGCACTTTGCTGGCAGATGAAGCACAGAAAATCACGGCTGGCAGACACGTGTCTCTGTCTGGCACAAAACAGGCTCTCCGCAGTAATTCAGAGTGCCAGGAATCGTGCCTAGCTCCACAGACATGCCTGCGTGGGGGCAAGGGCTGCCAGGGCACTGCATCCCTTAAGGACAGCTCCGTAAGCTCCCGCCCTCCTGGGGACATTGGTCTTTGCATCCCTAAGCCCCTCAGGCAGTTTAAAGCACTTCGAGGCACACTGGGGCATGCTGTCCTCCAGCCAAATGTCTACCGCTTGGTGGGCCACTGAGCATTTTGGGTTTTAGCTGAGGTCATGCTTGCACATAGTGGCCTTAAAGATGTGTCGTCTTCCCTTGGTGTCTGAAACTAGAGGCAGGCCGACATCCAGCATTTGTGTGTCAGTGACAACCATAAAGCCAGTTTACTAAAGGGCTATGTTTTTGGGAGAACAATCGTGTTTGTTCCTATCCTCAGAAAATAATATCTCTAAATACAGAATCCTTGGAGATGGCATCCTCTTAAAGAGGGGAGAAGACATAGGTGAAAGCGACTCATTTAAAAACTGAAAGGTCTTGCATTTTGCTGATGTTTTGCTTTTTGTTCCACTATTTCAGCTGTCCCAGTCCCATTCCACTGCCAGTTAGAAGTGTATTTCTAACCACAACTACAGGGGTTGCAGCAGCTATATTTTCCCTACCCCTTAGCCCTTGATTAAATAAATTAGGAGTCCGGAGAAATTTATTCCAACCGCTGTGGAAGAAAAACATTGCTTTGCTGTGTGCAAATAGCAGGGTTCAGGTTCTCACAAAATGAGACCTACCACAGCTCAGATTTTTGATGGTTTCACAGGAGATCAAAAGATGTCAAGGTTCCACCCCTAATTTACCCCTAATTTACAAGGAGGGTCTAAAAATTAAATGGAACGATTTTTAGAAATAAGATCCTCACACAGTACAGTGAGGCCCACATTTTAGACGGCTGGTCATGATCAAAAATGACACCCAATCACATGAACAGTAGAAACACAGCAGGAGGAGAGGGATAACACTATGTTTGAGCTCTAACTTGGTTCCATGGTGAAAGTCTGTAGCAGTGCAGAATTCCTGTGAGCCTCCAGAGAGAGACATTTCATTTTCCTTTTGAAATGCTCCCGTCACAGAAAGTCTGGTATGGGATCTGCATGCGTCCATTCTGCTTTACCTGCTAGACTTTGTTAGCAAGTAGGGTATTTTCAGGCTTTGAGACTGAGTTCATTCATGCACGTTCATGCAGCATCCCTTTTCTCAGGAACCTAGAAGTGGAGCTACAACTAGAGGAACAGAGGGTTTGTAATTATAGTGGTTAGAATGCTTTCAGTTCCTCCTAGAAATCTACCTTTGAAAGCTCTCTTCCTTGAAATCACTTTCCAGAACTAGCACGGTATTGCTCCTCTCATGACAGAGTAAGACATTAGTGTTAAGAAAAGAGCAGGTTAAGGAAGGTGATAGAGGGACTGAGCTGCACTTTACTCATCACCAAGACTTAGAGACAGGTATTTAAGGAAGGTGTTGGGAATAGGTGAGAAAAACAGCTGTTTAGCTGTTGCTAAGTAATGTGAGGTTGGAAATAAATATTCCAGATGCTGCAGTTAGGCTTGCATTCCCATGTCCAAGCAGGTGAGTTCCCTGTACATGCAGCGAGGCTATACAAGCCCCTCTTTTCAACATGCAGGTTGACCTCAGGGAATTCAGTACATTTGTAAGGCAGAATTTTCCTCTGTGAAGTCATGTTGGTCCTACCAAGTCAATCATACTTACCCAGGCGTCCAGCTGTCAGGCCCCCTATCTTCCATGCAACTCTTTTTAAAAGTTGACATTGTATTTGCCATCCTGCATACAACGGGTATCATTATATTTTTCAAAGTGTAGTTTCACACACCTGCTGGTAACTTCCCGCTGGTCCTAATGGTTTCGGTACTGTCCATTTCATCAGATTTATCCACTCTGTCTTCAAAATCCCTTCCATTTCCAGGAAGGTGAAACTACTGGTGAGTTTCTCACCAAGGTTTCCAGTTTCCTCCTGGTGAAAACTGACTCAAATAGTTTATAAACTTCTCCGTAATGGCATGTTTTCTTTGAGTACTCCTGTTAATACCATGGTTATCGATTCCTACAGCAGAATTCTGGAAGGCTTCCTGTTTCTAATGACCGAAGAAAGATTTATTAGTAGCATTGATTCCTTTTGGAAGGAGCCAATCTTACTGTTTTCTTACATCTAATCTGCAGGAATCTATGTTTCCTTCTACTTTTTTTTTTTTTTCTTTTCTTGAAGTATTACTGAACATTTTAAAAAGATGTCTTTTGTGTCTAACAACCTTCCTTATCCTGCTGTTTACCTATGCTGTCTCCCTTTTGTGCGTTCTCAACCCTTCCTTAATAATCCAAGCGTGTACAGACCTTTTGTTTCCAACATGTTTCATATCTAGACATAACATTTGTACAATCTACATACAAGCAATGAGATCTCCTGTACCTGTTGAACCTTCTTCCCTTGCTGAACAAGCCACTTTTCCTTGGCATTTCACTATTAGTGAAACTGACCCAACATTGGGTTACTTAACTACAGAACAACTCAGTCATTTTTTGTACTCTTCTATCATCTCCCTCTTCAGGCCTGATGTTAACCTCTGCAGATACAATTTCATTGCTAATAATGAGTTTGTTAATTGGATTGATCGAAAGAGCTGCTTTTCCAAACCCAAACTGTTTTTTACAGGGAGGTGGACTTCCTGTCACTCCAATATCTTGACACCAGACCAAAAAAAATTGCCTGGCTCTAACTCCCATGAGGGCAGTGGTACTTTGAGACTGTTTCTGGAAGAATGTTTTCAGAAGTTCAAGTAAATCCAAGTCGACAGAGACACTGTGCCAGCAGAAAAGTACCAGGAAGGGCTTAAAGTACTCAGGCAAATGCCTTGGCTTTAGAACTAAGGATTTTTTTTATGGGACTCCAGACAGAGGGCGTGTATGTGAATGTTTTAATAAAAAAATATCTATCACTGGCAAAATCAGTACAAAGTCCTGAAGAGGGGCCATGGTCTCCAAGTCAAGGTTAGTTTAGGGTATAGCATTTGATACCTAAGAAGTGGTTTAGGGCATCGTATTTTATTGCTGTTTCTTTATTACTTAGAGAAGCAATAAAGCTGTCTGCCCCTACATTTCTTTGTGGACCACTGAATAGTCATCATTTTTCACCAAAATGTTTTGGCACAGTAAGTTTTCTGCTGCATTCTTTCCACCATTGAATTCACGTTAGTGTTATGATTTGGTTTCATTTAATCAAGGGAGAGGGCTCAATGAAGTAGTGTGTTATCTGCCACCTGGTGTCTCTAAACAAAAACACAACAAAAATATGTTGACGTTCTTTATCTTTTATAATACTGTTTTAAAAATGAATACTGAACAGAAATTTCACAAGAAAATAACTCGGGCATGTGTTCCTAGTGATAAAACAGAAATCTAGTACAAAAATAATTCTTCATATGATGTAGAATGTTAACTCACGGTGGCAAAAGAACATCATCTATTAAATTTGTACATTTAGAAGGTATGTCAGTACATTCAGAAGCATTACTTTCTTGCCTTGTGCCATGCTCTTGATTTTATATGCTTTATAATGTTTGGTTCCTAGTAATTGTTTACAGACTGTTTAATGTGAATATGGTAATTAATGAGCCTTCCTATATATTTGCCTAATATGCTGCCAGATAGATCTGATATTCCATTTTACTTGTTTGGCAACCATGCACATGCTTTGATTGACTCTGTTTTAATCCTGCCTTTAAGCCTCTTAACATAGATAAAGATAATCCATCCCGAATCCTCTTCTTTGCTGATCATTTTCTCTTCAGCTTCTTTTGTGTTTGTGTTTTCATCCTCAATGAACCAAGTGTACAGAACTATGCTTTAGAGCCTTAAGTATCATTTTACTGGAAAGAAATGTTAATGTGTGGTAACCACCAAATGATACTGATGTTATATTGCATGTGGCTGTGTTCATTTTTCTTACGAGAATGCAGCATTAACCACATAAAGCCCCCTAAAAGACAGGTAGGCATACTAACAGTTTTGAATAAGATGGATAAATATAGTACAACTGAGTTCAGAACATGGCCAAGCAAACAAGTAAGCACATGTTGTGATTTGGTACATATTTTTCTTTGATTCGTTGAGTTAAAGAGGTGCAATGCCTCTAAAGATGACATCAGAAGTTATCCAGCAATGTACAGCAATGAGAGGATTATGAATTACAGTAATCTTTTCTTTAAATTCATTGACATATGAATCCTCAAGATCCTCAAAGTGGCATGGCTACCTTGCGCAGTGACATCGTCTTCAAGCTAAAAGGAAAATCAATATACAAGGCAAAGAGGTATCATAGTTACATCCACAAAATCATACCTTTTGACGTTGCTTTAGGAAACAAAAGAATGGTCTGAAGTAAAGAAGTGTTAAACGCCTCTGCTTCAGTAATCCTTGCGCACTTCAGAGCTCCATCAGTTTTCAGTGTGAATTTAAGTAGCCGTTAGGAACTTCTGTTTCATTCTGCAAAGCATGGCATCAAAGTCAGAGGCACGCAAGCCTAAGTTCTAATTAACTTTCACACCTGTACCTCACTGATTTGAGTGGAAATGCATCAGATCCCTCACATCACTAATCTCATCATTTTAGTTTGTTTTTGAAACCTAAAAATAGAAAAAAAATGTAATGTCTCATAAGCATTGTCGATGCTATCTAAAGTGGAAAGAAAATATTGTTAGTATTTTACTGCTGCTAAGTCTGTTTCCTTATGACCTTGACTTCAGTGACAAAAGCTGAAGTATGAAATCCACATTGCCATCAGTATAAGATTCCTGTTGAATTCACTGGACCAGAACTTCACAACAGGACCATATTACAGCATAAAAGTCTTTCTCACCTCAAGAAACATCTGCGGATTCTTCCAAATATCATCAGCGGTGGACTTGTTCTCTTTAAAACCTTTATCTTGGTACTTAAATAGGAATGTTTTTTATAAAGTATCATTTTATTAAAAAAGATGCAGCTTGTTTTCCTTTGTTCTTGTTATATGAGAAACAACAGGTTTCATATACATACACTGAAAGATGCTAAGATTACTGGATACCAGAAAAGTGGTCTTGAATTCAGAGAAAACCATTCTGAAATCACAGCAGAAATTTTGCTTCCCTATATGAACACTGCAGAAGGCAGCGTTTACTTATGCAAACATAATGAAACTGAAGGATGTGCAGGATCTTCCTTTCAACCACAACTAGAGAAGACGCTCTTGGAACTGCCTCTGAATACACCTGCTCCATTACGAATTGTGGTTGCAATGGGCCTTTCAGTAATTTAATTTGCATCTCCTCTAATGGAAGGAACAAGATTGATTCAGGAGCTTACAACGAATTGCAGCATCTTTTGGCCCACAGAATCAGGCAGGCTTTGAAATCCCACATCATTTTTATTTAAAAAGGAAAAATGGAGACATATTTCTTTAATGCAACTGTTAATTTACGAAGAATGTTTATAGTCTTTTTTTTTTGTGGTTATCTTTCAAATATTTGTCTTTGTGTGCGCTTGTGATGGTTTTGCTATTTCTCTTTCTTACATGCACATATGGATACATGGAGCTGTTGCATTTGGTATGGGAATCCCAGTAAGTGCCCACACCATCTGGCCAAGCCATAGTTCATATTTGCATGTGCTCTAGTGCCTGGGTGGTATTTTTTTCATTGTTTCAGCTATCACTAAACAAAGAGTCATTTAATTGGGTCTTCAATGAGCCTAAACAGAATACTGCTGCTATACCCAAGAGCTTCAGTGGGAAAGCACAATTACCCGCCCCCTACTACCACAACGGACATAAGCAAAGTGACAAGGGGATCCATGAGCTAAGGCACTCTCTTAATTAAATAATGTCAAATTCAGTGGTCATTTTCTTCCTAACCAGCAGCTGTCTCAGTTGCCAGCTGCGCCTCCTTTTTTTGCAGCGACTGTGTGACCCATGAGACATTGCTGACCTCTCCTCCTGCCCTCGTTTGCTAACCTCACTCACCCAGCCCTGCATCACTTTGGAGGAGTTCCGAGGGCAGCAGGAATACAGCGTGGACATAAATCAAGGATCACAAACGGGCTACACAATTCCCAACTCACACGCACCTCTTGTGTGTGTTTGTGTGTGACACCAGGGGACAGGCGGCTAGAAGGTGACGTGAAAAGCCTGACAGAGAAAAAAGTACTTAAGTAAGGTCACAGCAAAGGTCAGTGGAATTGCCTGGTGAGAGTAAGCAAACCACCAGATAATGGGAGATGGCAGTGGATGGGCCTCCAGGAGGTGTGAATCAGTTCACTTATCAAATCAGAAAATCAAGGCCAAACTGGGAAATCAAAAGCACTGAAATACCACATACGCCATATAATTTTCATATGGGGAAAATAAGATAGGGCTGTTTAAAAAGCCCTAAAGTCACAACAAAAAAAAAATCTTAGGCCAAATCTTTCAGAATTTGCTATTCAAGGTTGATCCATAAGTGTGGTTTGTGTTATCTCCAAACACTGAGGAGAACAAATAAGTAACTTCATCAGTTCCTCAGTGAGGGAACTCACTGTTCTAACTACATACGTTTTAAAAAATATTTTATTAGCTTATGCATCATTGGCTTCTCCAAGTAAGCAGTGAAACATTATGCTTTTATTTTGAGCTTTAGAAATGCAGCAAATAAATGAAACGAAGTAGCAGAAGGAACCCTGCCTACTAGCTAGAAGGGGTCCTCTTTTATGTCCCTAACCTGCGTCATTGTCAACCGCTACAAAATCCAGTGATGTGATCCCAGTAAGGGTACTGAGAGAGATAATTTATTCCCATTTGTGAAGTTACACTCAGACATGAAATTAAATGTGATTTAAATACTCATAAAATGTGGTGAAGTATGCAAAATTACTAATGATGATTATAGTGAAATCTCATCAAGAAGCAAAAGATGGCATTTGAGCGGAGTACACTGGACTAGATCAACCAGAGCGCTTCAGGTTTTTTATACCATACCAGTGACTCACAGTACTTGTAAACCCTGCTCAGCCAGGTAAACGATGCCTACAGCTCCTCAGGGTTCTTTACAAGGCATGAAGTGGCAACTCAGGTGTACAAAGGCATCTGTCCTACGTTGCTTGGTAGCTCGATTCGCTGGTTACTTGCCAAAGGAGCACTGATTTTTCATGGGCTGCACTCAATGCAATACCTGCTAGCAACATTTATCATGTAAGAGTGATTGTGCCCAATCAATAACATTCTGCTTTAAAAAGGTTAAGCCAAGATTTTAATAATGGTTTGGACTTGGAATGTGTGAAGTCGGGTTGTGAATAAGTCCTTTAAAGATACTTCATGACGTTGGTTGCCTATCTTTGGAATCTGGACCTTAAATGCTGGCACAACATGAGCTGCATAAATCAATACATGGCTATTTTTACCTGTTGAAGAAAATAAGAGTTGTAATCTTCGTATTTTAAAAGCTTCCTAGGAACACTTGCTAATTCACTCTCACGCCATTCTCTTTCCACAAAAAAAATAGGCTGATAAAAATATTATTGATGCTAGAGAAATGAAGGCAAGGATTGTCAGAAGAATTCACAAAGACGAGTGCCCACCTGTGATTAAAATTGAGTAATAGGATGGTATCAAATTCCTTTGGTAGTTTGACACTTTGTGTGACTTGCTAGTGCGAGTGTTTATCACACAACAAACCAGGATTAAATCCTGTCTTATCTGTCACTTGGTCTTGTAATCAGCTGGACTACTTAGTCCATTTTTACCTATTGACATAAGACAGCGAGGACATCTGTGTGAATACAGTTACTATGATAAACTGATCAGATATATGGTTTTTTTTTGTTGTTGTTCTGGATTTAGTAAATGGAAATTTTCACTTAACCTCTATGCCTAGGCTTTTATATTATTATTATTATTATTATTATTATTATTATTATTATTAAAAAACAGTTCCAGAACACCAAAGGGAACAGAACACAGTAAAATTATAGAAAATCCTGAAATTCTAGCTTGGATTTTGATTTGCACTGTCTGGGAAGTTATCTGGATGCCAGGAAATGGGAATATTTTGTGTACCAAGATCAGGAAATAAATCAGTGCCGTTTCATTGAACTCAGTGAAGTTGAAGCAGGCTTCATTACACCACAAGAGCATCTGATCCTGCAGTTTTGACTGAAATAACAGGCTGTGCCTGCCAGCTAGTGGGAAGACAATAGAGATTTGAACAAGGAGTGGGATCCCAGCACTAATGGCTGTATCTAGCAAACATGTGCTCTGAAGTCTTTTGCAGTGATTCTCCTACTCAACAGACATCTCGCTGTGTTCATTATAAAAAGCAACTTCCTCTTGACATACAAACCAGTAAAAAGCGTCTCGCATTGATGTTGGAGATATTTTAGTACATACGGAGAATAGTTTTGACATTGACATTCAGAGAACATAAACACGATTAGCTCTATAGGCACAGGTGGTATCTTTTTTGAGATCAACTCATGTAAATGGGAGAATGGATGGGACTAATACATAATAACACGTGTATTAGTCAAAGATTTTATGTGATATAAAGAGATCATTTATCTTTAATCTTTCTCTTTCCAGGAAGAAAACTGGCATTCTTCTGGTAATACCGCTGCGACTCTGCAGCCTATTTTTCTAATTTTAGTTACTGCCCTGCTGACTAGTGAATGCGACAGCTTTGTCTCTCCGAATGAGGGCTACGAACACAAGGAATTATTATAGGCTACGGAGTCTGACAGACTAAAATCCCATGCCGTCATAAGAAATTTAATAAGGTGTGACCAAAGAAACAAATTGAAAATACAGCCTCACTGGTGTGAAAAACAAGGGATAAGGACCAGGAGCCTCCTTTGGAAGAAGAGCTGGAAACATGCAGTTGACTCGAGCGCAGGTTTCAAGCCAAGCTATTAAAATGTCCAGCACACGCATCTTTGGATCCTGATGAGTAAGGAATGGCAACACCAGCACTTATCATAAATGATCTTTGTGAATTAATTGTGGGGATGTGGGCGCCTGGTTTCTGCTCTTACCTCTGCCACCGCTTTGCTGGGTGCTTTTGCCACTGAGTCGCCCGTCGCTGCGGTTCCACAAGCCCACCTGCAAGACACGGAGGGGCAGCACCTCCACACCCCGACACTTATTTTTCATTTTTTGTTAATTTGGGGGGCACCTGGCCGCCTGCACGGCGGGACCCCGGCGGGCTAACCCCGCCACCTCAGGGCTGCCCGCTGCGGCCGCTCCCTCCCCGCGCCGCCATGAGGCGACCCGGGCGGAGAAGTGAGGGAAGAAAAGAAAGGAAAGGAAGGGAAAGGAAGGAAAGGGAAGGGAAAAGAAGGGAAAGAGGGCGGCACAGCGGCGGCTCCGCCTGCCCCGAGCCGGCAGCTCCTCCCTCAGCTCGCCGCGCCGCGCCTGTGGCAGGCGGGCAGCATGGCGGCCGTGGAGAGCCGCGTCTGCGAGACGGCCGGCTGCAGCAGCGAGGCCAAGCTGCAGTGCCCCACCTGCCTCAAGCTGGGCATCCAGGGCTCCTACTTCTGCTCTCAGGTGAGGGCATTGCCCCTGCTTCCCCCCGCGGCGGGGGGATGCGGAGGTGGGGGTGTAGGTGCGTGTGTTCATGGGGTGGGGGGGGACCCGTGTGCGGGTGGGTGCCTGGGGCTCGCCGCCGCCGCCGCCCCGGGGCTGGTCCCGCTGAGGGAGCGGGGCGCCTCCGTCCCTCCTTGTCCCATGGAGGGTCCCTTTGGGGGTCCCCCCTTTGGTTTTTTGGGGCTCGACGGGGCGAAACGAGGCGTGCTGCTCCGTGTGCCTCTGCGGCTGCAGCAGCACGGACTTGTTGCTCTGCCCAGCAGCTTTGCGGGGTCCTGTAGTGAGGCGAGGGCTCCCTGGGGACACGGTTCGGCGCCCTGCTTTTTTTTATTTGCCTTTAAACGCCCCTGGATGGGCTGCTTGAGGGCTGCCGGGCGGGGAGATTCAGGTTAGGCCAGTTGTCATTTAACCATCAACTTCGGCGAAATGCTTTCTGCAGGCCTCGGCTGCCCTCGTTATTGCCTCGGCGGTGATATGGTGAGGGCCATCGGTTAAACAGGAAGGGCTGCCCGATGTCTGAGCACGGCTTTTTTTATTTATTCTATTTGAATTACCTGAAAACGCAGAGCAAAATACGTATCTTAAGACTTTGAGCCCTCTATGTGTGCTGCTCCTCTCAGCATCAAGTGAGGAGCTGCGATCCAGAGACCGGCGGTGCAGCTCCCTTCAAGAAGTATAATTTGGGGTAAAACCACACAAGTTTGGTAGATACCAGAAGCATTTAGTCGCATCAGCTAGAGGAACTTCCTGATCGAGCAAAAAAAAAAAAAAAAAGTCACTTCTGAGTCAGGATACGAACCAGTAGTTAGCGTTTGCATAGGACCTGGGGAGAGCTTCCCACGTGCGTCTCACGCACCCGCTTCTGGGGCTTTCCCCTCCAGCCTAAATTTCGCCGGCTGCAGCCCCAAATTTCGCCGACAGGCCTGTGTGGGAGGTTCCAGTGATATCTTCGTTCCCCTCTGACCCATCCCCAGCTCAGCACATTTGTGCACGATGCGGAGATTCTGCTCGTCTGTCCGCTAGGTTTAATGCTTTTGAAATAGCTGCTACTGCTGTAAGGTAAAACTACTGGAAATGTTTACTGGCTTGTTAAAATAGGCTGCTGGATGACTGACTACTTGTAAAGCTGTCTTGCCTAGGCAGTAAAACACTGAACTGGGAATCCCGCTTTCCTTAGTTCTGGGAGACCTTGGGTGTTTTGTTTCTCCTCGTTCCTTTGATCAGTCAAGCAGGGAGGCATAGCTATTCCCCCTATGAAAGGTGCTTTGAAATTTTGGGGTGAAGCGTCTCACGGAAGAGAGAAGGAAGCTAACAGCTGCCCGTTTCCATGATGTGCAAAAGATGTCACTCACTAAGAGAGGAGTCCTCATGTTCAGCCCACAGTGAGGAGCTTCGGCCCCCCTTAGTCTTGTGCATCATCCGATGGAGGAGATGGCATCTTGGGGGCACCAGGTACCGTCAGGAAGGTAGGTGAGGTGCTGCTGACAACTGCCTGGCTGTTTATACACGCACTGAGAGGCTTATCATCGCTCAGCAGGAAATTTTCAAAGCCACCAAATTTTCTCTGAACTTTCAGCAGGTTTCAGCCTATAGTACTGGAATGGGTAGCATTTGGGAAACTTTTCCAAAGGTTTCTCCTAAGTGGTTTCCTTTCCATTGAGGCATTACACTCATGAAAAGCTGTTTGATAAGCTAGTAAGTGGAACTGGGATGTTACTCCATGGTGCAGCCTGCGTACCTGAAGGCCTGGTCCTGTCCCCTCGCTCCAAGGCTGCAGGTTTCCACCCATTCCATTCAGCTGGACCTGACTCTTTGGTGAGCCATTCCGTGGGTTTTTAGGATTTCTTTTTTTTTTTTTTTTTTTTTTTTAAATGGAGCAACAGCAGTTGCATGAAGTTTTCTGCTAGTTCAAATTCCCACGGCTTTGTGCTGCAGGATCAGAGAACACCAGTGCTTCAGGACAGTGCAGCCTGAGGGCAGGCATGTCCATTGCACCCAGTTTGGCACAGCTGGAAAGTCAGCCCCTCCTTTTTGAACACAGAGGTGTCAGCTACACCCGTGCTACGTGCTATGGTAATTAATCTGCCTGAAGCCTGCAATAGCTTGTTCATACAGCCAAGGCTCCGATAAGAGCTAAAATCAAATTTGTAGCAGTTCATTTCTCTGGTGCTGAGAATAAACTATAGAAAAGTGTGAACTACTCTAACAGGTAGACAATGTTTTGGGCAGCATAGGACTGAGAATCTTCGTGTAGTGAGGAAGTAATCTTAGGATGTATTAAAAATTATTTTTCATCACTGCTCGTGGAGAATTGGAGTGAACTTTTCAGGTAAATTGTACCAGGACAGCGATTTCCCTGGTGGATTTATCATTCGTGCTCCTCCTTTCCTCAGTAAAGGGCATCATTCTAGCCATTTATTTTCCCCCTTTTGTATCAAAAAGAGGACATCTCAACAACATGCCCTGGAAATGCTTTCTCTGAAGCATGTGACCTCCTCGGAAATGCCTTCGAGCTGCTCCATTTGACCTGGGAGTGGGGTGTTGTGCACCTTGTCACTGGGGAACGCTGTTGAAGGTTGGGGTGGAAAAGGGGCTGAGGATGCCAAGTCCTGCCCTAACAGTGGGGTTTTGAACAGGTAATAGAGGCGAGGTAAAGACAGTTCCTAGTAGCACAGGAGCTGTAGCAGTGTGTTGAACGCTGGCTTTTTTTTTTTTTCCTTCCTTTCAGCCCAAGGGATAATGAGAGGGAATATTCTACCGAGGAATTCTGTCTGCTATTAACCTTTGATACCATCTTCATTTAGCCTAGTAAATCAGGTCCTGTCGCCACCAGCTATCTTTCACTGTCTCGCTTTCTCTTTTGTAGAGACTTGCAACAGCATTGCATGGGTTTATCAGCACAACAGGCTCAATTACTGTATCTCCTGAACCTGGAAATAACACGGGTGTCCAGCATGGCATCTCAAGCGTGGCGTTGCTCTTCCTAAGATGAATTTGCAGTTGCAAAATTTGCCTGAGCTGGGTTCAGTGCACTGAAAGGCCCGTCCAGTTTGAATTTCTCGTTCTGGTTGTTCCTTCGCTGCTCCCAGAAGCTGGTGCCATGCTCGTGCATGGTATCATAGAGGCTCGTTTAGCACCTAGAAGAGCAGAGCTGAGCGTGCTAAAGGCACCTGTTTTACCAGCCAGTGCAGTAGCAATCGCAGCCCTCGAGGCGCTTGTCTTTGCGGGTGAGCTGTGACGTTAATCTGTGCCACGTTACATACTGTAGCGCCGATAACCTGATATTTTTCCTAAGCTAAATGCCACACTCAAGGGTTTTGTTGTGTTTTGTTGGCGTACCTTAAAGGCGGTTGGGTTAAAAACTGGTTCTCATTAAGTAAAATCGCACGATCCTGGATTAATTCAGGGACAATTTTACCTTCCAAAGGGCACTTTAAAACTGTACTTAAAAAAAAAAAAAAAAATCACTCGGAATATTTTTAAATGCACCGTCCTGCTTGGCACTGCTTCCTAGGCGTTTGCCTAACTATTGCAGCTCGGAGTGTAATGACATGCAGAGTGCCAGCCAGTCTGTCCCCGCAGTCTCAATTCCAGCTGTCTTTTTTTTGCTGCAGAATATTTTTTTGCTGTCTTTCTGGAAATTCAGCTCCGGGGCTCTAAATGGTGAGTGCGGCGAAGTCAGGGAATGAGCTGGAGTTCCCCGAAACTGTCCCTGGCGTACCTGAGGGGACAAGGAGCCTGGAGGGGAAAGCAGCAGCCCTAAGGATGGAAATCACTGCGGGATTGAAATTCTTTCAATGGCTGGTGTTTTTTAAAGCCAAAGGCATTTGGTAGTGACCTCTGTGTTCACACAAAAATGCTCTCTACTGTAAAACAAATTCCGCCAGGCTGCGTGCTGCTGTCAGTGTGTCATCCAGGAGGTGCTGGACTGAGTCCTTAAGGTACAAATCATTTAGAGCAATGGCTTGGCTTCCGTGAGCTGGTCCAAGAGTCTTTCCAGAGTGTAACGTGATTGTGTTACCTTCTGGTAAGTGCACAGCTTCTGGCAAACATTGGATCGAGGTCAGAAATGTGGTTAAAGGTTTAAATATGTGAATGGTCTTTAGCTAAAAGTTGCAGTCGAGTTTCTCTTGCTGACAGCCTGGCTATACACAGGGTTCGACCTCTTGCTTTGCACAGTCCTCTGTCCTGATTGCTACGTGGAAAACACATGAAATAGAAAGATCAGTGCTCTAAGTGGTGGGGTGGGGTATTAGTATCAGGATATTAATGGATATTGTAATGTTTGAAATAAAATGCAGGAAGTCTTCCAAGAAGCTCAGGGCCAAAACCGTGTTATTCCTGCGTGCTTTCCCTCGGAAGCTACTTAATGTTTTCAAACGTAGCCGTACGAAGCCGTGTCTTCCTTTTTTTTTTTTGACGATATTAGAAAGGAGTCATGTTCACTTCTTCATCTCAATATTGAAATTCACCCTGGGTGCTTTGTTTATTTAGTCATTGACAGTTTTCTGTCTCGATCCGTGTATGGCATAGGAGCACGGAAGGCTCATTAGAGGCAGGGATGCTAATAGGAAGATGGCAGTAAGTGTCTGGGCAGAGGAGGCTCAGCGACAGGCAGCATTTTCTCCAGCAAATTCTCCACAGAGTGGCCCAGATGGTGGCGAAGAGTGGCTTTCTTCCACGGCTTGTCAGGAAGCCTGCTGTCAAGGTGAGCGTGTTTGCAGCACGCTGTGGCACACCAACAGGGCTTTGTAGCCCCAGCTACGATTCTTGGTTTGGTTTTCAGACCTGGTTTGGGTTGGTGTTGTGTATGTTAGGCTCAATCAGTCGTTGGCTCTGGGCCGTGTTTTTATGATGATGTTTCAGCCACTAGTATTGCCCTTCCTAGGAAAGGAAAACCTCCTGCCTGTGTCTTCAGAACAAGCTCAGCATTATCGTAAATAACCGGAATTAGCAGTTTTCTGAGGGTTGTCTTGTGTACACACAGCCATTGAATTTCACTTCTGTCTATAAAAATAATCAATTTCCTAGTCAGCATCTTAAAGGATCGCCTTTAAATGCCTACTTCAGCAGCTTTTTTTGTTTCCATTTCTCCTTTTTTCCATGCCTTTCCCTCACCTCAGTCTTCCTTTACCCTCCTCCAGCTGCCAGGCATTTCTACCTGCCCCACTGCTCATTATTCACTGCGTGAGCTGCTCTGTGCGTGCTTGGGGGGAAAAGGGAAAAACACAAACCCCTTCGCGTGCACTCTTTCCTTGCTTTCCATTTCCACTTCATTTTGTTGTTGCTGTGATTAACATTTCCCATTTCCATGCAGTAGCTCTCAGGCTTTTTCCCCACCTTAATCTCTTTAATTTGTTCCCCTGTGACCACGCTGATTGACCTCCGCTGCTTTCTTACGCTGGGGAAGGAGGCAGAAGGGACGCAGTCAGCAGGAGGAGATGGCTCCTTGTAGGAGCCAGGGGATGATCACCCTGCCCACTGCAACGCCACCACATCAGGCGTGGAGACAGGCCAGGTGAACTCCTACGTCAGTGCCCCTGAACATCGCAGCATCTCGGCCAACCACGGTGTTTAATTACTCTTCAAGTTGATAAGGGGATGATATTTAGTAGATGGGATTAGATCAGCGTGTTTCATTTGGGTGGGCGCATCTGTTTGCCTGTGCTTTCTGACTGTTTTGGCTCATTAGCTGTTGCAAGTGGTATTTTCTGGTGCAGAGACTGGCAGCGAAAGTAGCATTTACTGCATGTTGCTACAAAGGTTAGTAAATTCCATATTTTGGTATTTTAAAATACAGTTGCTTCTCAGTTTCCTGGGAGTGATGTGTCTGTCCAGGATAAGGCTATTTATTTATTTTTTTTTTTTTCTTTGCAATTCTAGGAATGCTTTAAGGGAAGCTGGGCTACTCACAAGTTACTACACAAGAAAGCAAGTAAGTTGCTTTTATTTTATTATCTCTTTTAATATTCTGTTTTGAATGTGCCTATAGAAAACTGTCCTTTTTTTGTGCATTTGCACCCCATTATAATTCAGCATCATCGTGTTTTATTTAATGTAGCTTCAAAATAAAGTGCGTGCATGTGAGTATTGGTGGCAGAGCAGCACGGTGCAATTTGCTTTGCATTTTTCTTCACCTAAGTGCATGGTTGTGCCTGGAGTAGCACGTCCAGTCCTGGTTTCCCCAGTACAGGAGAGATGTGGGTGTACCAGAGAGAGTCCAGCAAATGGCCATGACGAGGGCCAAGGGACTGGAGCACTTCTCTTCCGAAGAAAGGCTGAGAGAGCTGTGATTCTGTGCCAAGAAGTGATAAGGATTTTTCCAAGATCTCTGGCATTGTGTTCGGCATATCTGAAATTGTGCTCAGTTCCCGGCAATCTGCAGATTAGATACATCTCAGAGTAAAAATGTACAATTTCAGAGACCACATGTGGTACAGAAATCCCTATTTCCGTTCCATTTTTGCGTAACATATTCCTTGAGCCAAGTTACCAGGTGTGTGAAGAGAAAGAGAGAGATCCTGACACAGAGGACAAAGACAACAATAAACCACGATGATGAGGCCAGTCAACTTGTACCAAACTTGTACCATTTTGATGCCTGGTGAAGTAAGAGGCAGTGCAGAAGGCTTTAGTGAAGCCTTTTAATTCGGTGCTTGCTGGGATGCAAGAGCACCAGTCAGAGTGCAGCCAGTCTGCATGTTTGGGGTGTACCCCTCTGGGGAAAAAATACACAAAAATGGGTGTGTGCACTAATGCTGCAATTGGTAGGAGGATGCAGTGTAGCAAGGATTTTCTATCTGACAGAGAATTTTTCGATGATACCGCCAAATCCACGATCTTGTTGGCTTCCTGGATAACTGCAGGATAGGCTCAGCATGAGTGGTCTTGGCTCTGGTAGCCCTCAAGCCCTCAGTGTCACAAATTACTGAAGCATCTCAAAGGAATCTCAAATACGCCTTCACGATAACTTTAGCTTTTTAGATTATTTCTCAGTGGTTTGTCTAAACTGGATGTCAGGTGGGCAGGTGGCTCAGAAGTCAGCCGTGGAGACTGAGAAATTTATATTAGGGCTTGCTGTGTTAGAGTTCTTGCCATTTCTTCATTCTTGTGAGATATGAAAAGGGAAAACAAACTCAAGCTATCAGGTTATGAGTTAAAGATTAACACTGCCAAGCTCTTCCTTTACCCTTGCCTCCTCCTTCCAAGTAAATTTTTTTTTTTCCCCTTTTATTTTTCTCCTTTTGGAAATGCCCAGGATCAACTTGCTTCAATCTTCCACGTTAAAACCATCAGATCTGGAAGGGTAGCAGGCTCCAAATTTAAAACTGTTGTTAAAATTTGTTGGATACCCTCCTCCTCACCCCAGGTCATTTCTGTCACTGAATCAGGAGAAAATCACAGACAAGCAGTCTTCGTCTGCAGTGCCAGATTGCTAATTGAAGGGATAATGAGGGTTTCTGTAGAAATATGCTCATCTCCCAAGAATGAAAAGAAGCACAGAACTATGTTTTAGAGCCACAAACGAAGAACGAATCAAATAGCTATTACACTGCCTTCGTGCCTGCGCTACTGCTGTCCTGACAATCCACGGTGCGCTGATGAGAAAAGATGAGGTTGGCAGGCTGTGGTTTTTTTTTTTTTTTTTTGAATGTGAAAAACTTGATCAAAAAATAAAATTACGACCTACACTTTTATCTATCAGTACTATCAAAACCAACAACAAAAAAACCACCAGAATGAATGTCAGCTTTATCTACTGTAGGTTGCCTTCTGGACCCCACGGTTCTTGGTAGGACTGATTTTGCTGTTGTTTTTGTTTGTTTGTTTGTTTTCTTTTCAGAAGATGAAAAAGCTAAACATGAAGTTTCCTCCTGGATGCTGGAAGGTGACGTTAACACAAATCCCTGGTCTGGTTATCGATATACTGGGAAACTCAGGCCACATTATCCCCTGGTAAGTGTTCAGTGGCACTCTGCACTCCAGCACTGGAGGAAAAGGTGCAGGTTATGTTCTGTAACAACTGATGGACCAGATGTCCTGACCTGATTGCCTTCCATATTTTAGCTGAAGGAGGAAAGCTTCTTTATCAGTCTGAACCTTATGGGAAGGACGTGTATGACTGTTATTATCATGGCTCATTTTTAGTTAACTTGATCTAGGTCTTGGTATATTTAAAATGAAGCAAAAGCCTGTGAGAGAACATGCAGCAGTTCATGCCTTTTGGCTGTACACTTTGACATTTATTCTGCAAAAAGCTGCTGATAGTTAAGATGGGGTCTTCTAGCTGTCTGCTGCTCTTACCAATGATGGAGCAGTCTGCTTCAGAAAAAAAAACAGCGTTAATTTAGAATTGAAATAAATAGTTCGATATAATTGTATATAAATGGTTTGAAATAAGCTGATGAAACAGAGCATGTAGTAACTTCCAGCACTGGAATGGTGAAGGACAGCAACATCTTCAGAGTTGAAAGGTGGGTTTAGAAGACAGTATAGCTGTATTTTTAAATCAGTACAAGTCTGTACGTGGAATAAGCCAAAACTTTTACAGAATTAATGGCATTTTACTTACACGTGCCTTTTCTAATTGGCCTCTATTAGAAATCCTGCCCCTGTGGCATCCTCTCCATAGCATCTGTTACAGGCTCAGAGAAGAGACTAACAGAACCTGAGCCCATGTGTGTGTCTTTGTGTCTTTGAAGAATTTAGTTTTTGTTTTTGGATATGACACTGGCCAAGTAATTCACTAGTGATGCTGCTGAGCATTTGCTTTTTTTGTCTCCTGACTCCTGTAGGATTGATGTATATGAAATAATAAAAAGCCCTAATAAGTAGGGCGATGATTAAAAATAACAATCTTGTTAAAATACACTAGTAATCATAGAGAGGAAGGATGTGCCTGGAACAACTACCTTTGCAGTCTGGGAAGTGCTACAATAATAATGCTACAATTTATGTGACAGACACAAAATTGGTTTTATAAAGCTGTGAAGTTGGCTATTAGAGGGTGTATAGTATAAAAGCAGTAAAGAGTAACAGGAGATTCTTTGAGAACTGGAGATCGGAGCTGTTTTGGACTATTTGCATAATTACATCTTTTCCTGTGTGGAATTAGCCGTGTTTCAATGTGTTTGATTTTATTCTGTGGGTCTCTGCTTTTGTGGCTCTAGTATGTATTCTTGCAACCTAACTCGCTTTGACTATGATTTATTTAGACACCAACGAGACCTGTGCCAAGTTATATTCAGAGACCAGATTATGCTGATCATCCACTAGGTAACATGAAACTAATCACAATTATGGCGTGTTATATTTGCTTTTTGTCTTTCCTTTGATTGAAGAAGCCTTTAAAGCATGAAGGAGATGCTGGAGCAGGGAATCTCTTCTTTTTTATGTTCTTCTCATCTACTTCTTTTCCCTGCCCCCTCCGTTAACTTACTGATTTAAAAGAATAAGACTAAAAATGATTAGTTTGTAATGAGTTGTCTTTCAAAGGTGTTCAGGGAAGAAAAGACAAAAAAATCCACAAGCTGTATTCCTGTGTTTAACTTCATAACAAACAGCAAAGATAGCAAAAGGTGGCAGACACAGATGAGGTTTGATAAGACATTGTCAGTGGCATTTTGGAACTGTGTTGTAAAGTAACTAAAACAAACAAAACCCCAGTAAGCAACACCCAAAAGGAAACAGGTGATTTCCAGCTGTTTTTAGACAGAGAGGGGATAGATTCAAACTTACTTGCTTATGGGTTTGTTTGGGTATTGTCCCCTTTTTGCATTGGTGTCGGTGATTTGTGTTTCTCAAAAAACTGCTAAGAAATCTGTTGGAATTATTTTTAGATCTTCAATGGGTCTTTAATAGTTCTTTACAGAAGATAAACATTTAAACAGCACAAAATACTGTTTTTTTTTTTGAGGGTTCCTCAACAGTAAAACTGAGTTTGCACAAAATCTTACAGGAAGAACTTAGAAGTATTTATCACTTGATTATTGCAGTAGTAGGACTACATGGGGGTTGGAGCTAGGTATCTTTAAGGATCCCTTCCAACCCAAGCAATTCTATAACTAGATATGGTCATTTGTTAGATACTATAATATTATACTAGATATAGCCATATATAGTCATATTCCTTTAAGGTCTGCTTCAGAATATTACATATTTTAATATTTATTATAACACATTTATTATAGCATAATATTATTTATTATAGATAGTATTATTTATTATCTCCAGGGTAACTAAAAAAAAAGACTTTACACTTTCAAGGGAAGTATTTTATTCATAGAAATCTTAAAGTTGTGTTTTGAGAGTGTTTTGACTGACTGGGCAAGCGAATGTAAGTGACTGGGCATCCTGAACACGTTTGGACATTACGATGTTGTGGAAGGCTTACGAATTCAAATTAATCTGGTTAATGTTGATAATGCTATAACTGGGTTTCTTATTTTAGTCTCTGGTGGGAAAGTATATATTTTTCTTGCTGTTGGTAAGCTAATTAAGTTCCTTGATTGGACATGTGTAGCAATCATTCCTCCATGTAATTTTGTTTGTTTGTTTATTCCCCAGGAATGTCTGAATCAGAACAGGCTTTAAAAGGAACCTCTCAAATAAAAATACTTTCACCTGAGGATATAGAAGGGATGCGAGTAGTGTGTAGGGTAAGGAGGTTTTGGTTTTCATTACAAAATGCCTTTATTCTTTAAAAATATATAGTCATTTTACCAGTTTGTGACAGCATACTTCAGAGTTCAGACTTTCAAACCGTTTTTGAGCACTGAAAAATAGTTTGTGAAATCTCATATTTTCTTTCTCCTTGTGACTCCAACTTGCAGTGAATTATTTTGCAAGCAGAAAGATGACTTTTATCTGTTTTCTGGCATTGTTGTTACTAGTGAGAAATAGTCTGTGGCTGAAATGTTGTTACTGTTAGGAATATATTTTATAGTGCGTGAAGGAGAACAGAATTTTTTCCTCTCCTGGAGTTAGTGCCAAGTAAAAACTAAAAAGCAAAACCGAAATAGCATCCCATTCCTGACAATTTTGGAAAAAGAGTTGTTCTATCAAAACCAGTCCAACTTTGAGATGTAGTCTGGTTCATGTATGTGGTATTTGACAAAATCATGATCCAGTGCTCTCTGGACATGGTCCTGGGCAAGCGGCTTTAGGTGGTCCTGCTTGAGCAGGGGAGTTGGACCAGATGACCAGCAGAGTTCCTTCATTCCTCAACCGTTCTGTGATGCTGTGAAATCTTAATAGAAATCTTAATTGGGGTATTTTCAACTGGGGTGTTTTCAAAACTATTTTCAGATGTCACTGAGGTGACTCAGTACTATAAACTGCAGGCATCTTGAAGACTTTCTGTAGTCCCAGTCTACCCAGCTTTCCTAGCAGTCTCAGTGTAGCTGCAGAAAATAAGTTGCTAACCTTCCAAGGAGTAGCCCTGGTCTCATTTTTAAATCAGTCTTTTTTTGTTTCCTTGTTTGCAGCTTGCTAGAGAGGTACTGGATGTCGCTGCCATGATGGTGAAAGCAGGTGTGACTACTGAAGAAATTGATCATGCTGTCCATTTAGTAAGGTTATTTTACTGTTCTTCTGGTGGTTTTATGTGCTTTCTTCTTTTTCTCTGTTTTGTAGTGAGTGTTGTGGGCTTTTCTTTGTTGCATGAATTCCTTTTCTTTATTTTGAACTGTTTCTCATTTTGAAGCTAATAGGTAGAGCAGATGTTAGAAGTATGTTAGAGCACAATGGCAGATTCAAAATAAGCCCTCAGTTAGGAACTCCTGGGACTCTGTATCAGCTCCTTAGATGATTTCCAGCTTTAGACTCCCTCTGAGTTTCCTCACATGTTTTCTCTGTTAACATCACATTTTTTTTTCTTGTAAACCCTTTGGGTTCCAGATACCACTATTTAAAAAGCATCATATTTAGGCCATGGACTTTTGTGCCCAGTGTTGTTAGTTAGGAAATACAGAGGAGAAAGTTCAGTTATTTATGATTGGGAATCAGAACTGCAGAGCCTGAGATAGAATTGGGATGAGGTGTTTGATGCAGTCAGGTGAACTATAACCCCAGTCTAGAAAACTATTTGAAATGTATGTTCCAAGTATTTTTCTGGTTTGCCGATTCATAGGTAAGTTGAGTTGTGTAATATTAATTTTTCTTAGCTGTGCTTTCTGTAAGGTGTTTAAACTGATAGTTGAGGGATACCAATCTGCAGTGTGGAGAACGCCAGGATTTTGATGTAGATAGGTCTGCATTTGCAGCTGTTGAGCTGAGATTGAGGCACTTCCTATGGTTTAACTAGGCCTGAGGACTCTGGAACTGCATTAAACTTAACTGGTAATATACTTGCCCTCCACCTTTTGCAAACTTTTGCATAGGAGATTGATACTGACTGAAATTTTGCAGTTTTAAGACAGTATTATTTTTCCATAGTTGCTCAGTATGTCTCTTAGCATGTATATGTCAGTTTTTCAAAAATCACAGAAAGGTTATTAAAGTGAATGCAAAGGAAGCACATAAGCATTGGCTTTTGCAAATACATTAAAAATCTTAGACCAGGTGCTAAAAACAATCCTTGAAAATGACAGTTTTCTACCTGAATAAATATTCCCATGCATTGTTCGGAACCTGAATATTTCAGCATTCATAGTTCAACATAAAAATGAATAGAAATAAAATGAAACTAGTCTTACTGTCTTGCTGTTAAGAAGTGCAAAGCATAAGAAAATATCATAATGAAAAAAAAAGCTCAAAAAATCTTATTTTCAGGAGTCACAGCATTTCAAAATATCATTCTTACTGTAAATCTGTTGTGCTTATGTTTTTTCATTGTAAGAAACTCACTAATACATGTAATTGTATTTTCTAAATTAGGCTTGTATTGCAAGGAATTGCTATCCTTCCCCTCTGAATTATTATAATTTCCCTAAGTCATGTTGTACATCAGTGAATGAAGTGATCTGCCATGGAATTCCTGACAGGAGGCCATTACAGGAGGGGGATATTGTTAATGGTAAGTGCTATGAAAATTTAACTTTTACGATTTTAACCTTTCACGCTTTTACCTTCTACCAGTTTGTGTGCAAGGGCTGCACCTCAGCACTAGAAAACACCTTTTATAAGAAGATTTAGGAATACCTTTGCTCATATCCCTGCCTTGAGTATACCTCTGCAAGCCTTGAGCCTACTGCTTTGTTCTGGTTTGGAAGAATTTGTTGGCGCTCTTGTTGCTTGGTAGGTCTTGTTAGAAAATGGTCCATGTTTTGTGGATCAAATGTACATTCCCCACAGGCTCAAAAGGCTTCCAAGGCTTGCAGGCTTCCTTATAGAAAGGTAGCTTCTCAAAAGGTGCTTTAGAAAGAGGAACACAGGGTAAAGTGAGGGGATAGGAAAAAGTACAACAGAGGGAGCGCCCGTTCATCTTTCTCTTTACCTAAAGCTTTTCAGCCTGGTAGAAGCAAAAGGTGTCCATTTCAGGTCCAAAACAGGATTTTCGTTACAGTCATAGGAAAATGTAGACCAGGAGGTACAGCCAGGTGACATCTAGTCCAGTTTCCTGCTCCAAGCTGAGCATCATAACATTTTGTTATCATACTGTACCTGTGAGCAGATTCTGTGTAAAGTGAGATGTTTTGGCCATGTCTGGCAGTGTCAAGAGAAAGTCTTATATTCACGTAGCCTCTGGAAATAGCTTCTTTGCAGCAAGTACACACTGGTAACGTAGTTTGCAAGAAACTTACCTGGGTAAGTTACCTGGCTGCTGGCTTCTGTGTGTTGTGTTGATGTGTTACTGGTAACTTCACTGATCTAAATGTTCCAGTAATTGAACATAATCATGCAGTGAGTATGATGTAGCTCTGTACATGCATGCACCCATAACAGGCAGTGTAGTTTCCTTCTTCCACATTTGCCATCAGTACAGACACAGATGTGTTTTCCTATGTTTCCCATTGAGGTTGTGCTGGTCTCGCTAAGCAGCTCACATGCTGTATGTATTCTTTAAGTATTATTGCTGAGTACTGTCTTCTACCACAGGACATCAACTTGGCCTGAAAATCTATGATGTTTTTTGTGTGTTTGCTATCATACAGTCATTATAGATAGTAGTTTTTAATATTTGGCTCATCATAGACATGATTCTAGAGCAGATGACATCTATGTCTCAACTGGTAGGCCTGTTCCCATGTTTCATAAAAGGACTATTTGTGATGAACATCTTGTACAGACATTCTTTTTCTAAAAAAGATGTATTTTTGGAGTGGGCTAAACTAAAAATGATAGATATAAATACATATTCAATAAAACTGCTTATATTTATTTATATTTGTCAAGAGTAAATTTATAACTTTAAGTTGATGACCAACTTTACACACAAAGCAAGTTTACACACCAGGTTTTGCTGCAACATAGTTATAAGCTCTAATTTTATGTTTTTTAAACTTAAGCTGTTTTAAGCATACCCCTTCTCATTCTTGCTGTTTGCCTGATACCGAATGTTTAAATAATTTAATTCAAAAGAAAAAAAAGTTTTAAGCCATCTGGTGTATTTTTTCTTAGGAACAATATTGGAAAATTTCTTTGTGTTTAATGTTCACGATAAAACTTTACCTTTTGGCTGGAAACAGTGGGTTTTAGCATTCTGATTCCTGCAAATATGTGACTTATTATTTTAAATGTGCATTGAAAGTACTGAAGCTAAAACATGGCTTTAAAACATGATTACATTCCTACTTTAAATTTAATTTCCTCCTGTTAGTGCTGGAGTTAGTTCTAAGGAAATATTTTAGCCAGGTAAATCACCATGGAGTAAAGAGCATCTGTTTCTTGTTTTTATATTTGTCTAGAAAACCAATCATAAGCTTGTCATGGCTGTATTGCACAGGTGGATTTTTTTTTCCATTTTATTTTTTCTTAAATCATTGAGCAGTGAAACATTATCTTAATTGTTTAATTTAATTAAATTAAATTAATCTCTTTAATTACTTCTTTAAAATACTCTTTAATTGTCGAATTTATAGAATTAAGTGTCAGAATTTAATCTGCTGGAAAAGTTGATATGAGGAATTCTCCACAATTAGAGAAATAACTTCACAGTTACAGTAACACATTGTATGTGGTTATTGTCTTTTCACAAATAAAGAGAAGCAGTGGAAAATACAGTGGCAGTGGTATGACGTGTCTGGTATTCTTTGCAGTGGATATTACTGTCTATCGTAATGGCTACCATGGAGATCTGAACGAGACGTTTTACGTTGGAGAAGTGGATGAGGGTGCAAGGAGGCTTGTCCAAACAACGTATGAGTGCCTAATGCAAGCCATCGATGCAGGTAAATGCTCTTGCTGAGGCCTGAAGCATCACGGCTTTGGTTCTCAAGCTCAAGTGCTCATATTTGTTATCCCCTGAGAATGAATTTTGTTGCAGAACACAGAAGTGTTGGTGTGCGTCACTAGCAGATGATGTATGTTGTATAACACGGTGATGGTTCAAACCCTACGGTCCTGTGGGTGGTGGTTGCAACTTTTATCTGAAACGTGGGCTGATGAGGGAAATGTAACTGATGCTGAGGTGATCCACGAGCGCTGATATTTACGTGGAAATAGCCTTTTTGGGCTACTTAGATGAGTAAGACGTCCTTGATTTGAATTGTTTAGGGAATGTGAGGAACAAAGTACGTTTTGGAAAATGAGAGTATGGTTCTCTACTTTTCTAACACACGTGGCATTGTAAAATGAATCAATAAGGTAAAACATTGTTTGAAGACTTTTAAACTCACCCCTTTACTCCCATAAACTTGATGGTTATTTTATAAAGCTAATTACGTGCTTAGATTTTAAACTTTGAGAGTGTGCTGGGGAAGAGAGATCTATATCCTTCAGTAGCTGCAGGACTTTGATTATGTTGCTTATAAATATATTAAATATATTAAATATATTAAATATATTAAATCAGGACACCTTCACTGAGACATACATAAAGATAGAAAGGTAGCTAAAGAATGCTGTGTTCAACTGTATTCACAAATGAATATCCCAAGTTCTCTTGGACAAACAGGGAAAACAAAAATCTCTCAAGCCCCTGCAAATAATTGTATCCTCTGCATGTTATATATCCTGTAGCTTCTTAGAATCTCCAGTAAAATTTACTCACTTCATGGCCCTGCAGGCTGAAGTTTACGTTACTATATCTGAAGGCTTTAAACATGCATTTAATTAAATGAAAAAAAAAAGTGAGCTTACTGTGGTTAATAATTTGGAGGTAGCTAACCAAACTGCAAAGACAAAAATCCATGTGAAAGATATCTTGCACATCTGTTCTGTGAGTGAGAAAATACTGTAGAGTCGAGCTGTGAAGGACATAGGTTATTTATGTTGGATTACTGCTCCGAAAGGACGACTTAATTTTCCAGAGCTAGACTTAGATTGTTTATCTTTGCTCCTCTACTTAATTTTTTATAGCAAAAGTTAAATATGTTGTCTCCTATCTTTCATATCCTGGCTTTGATGTGTAAACTACATCGGTTCACTCTTGTGTTTGTGATACCAATATATAAATTCTCAGTATAAGTGGGTTTTTTAGTACCCTTTCAGATGCTGTAACAGTTTTTGATGTCTTTCAGCCACTCCCTGCTAATAGGAATTCCAGCAGCAAATGTCTCATTTATAGCCCTGGTTGTGCCATCTTAAATTTGGGCTGTTGGACCAGCAAAGCTCTAACTAGGGGAGTCATGTCAGAGAGCCCAGCAGAGAGCTCCATGTTGCACTGCAGTGAGCTGCTTGGAATTGTGAGGCCTGAGGTTATTGCACAACTGTTTAGTACAACACCAACAGATTAACTTTTCGTCTTCTCCACTGTGTCTGTCTTATATTTTGGGAAAAGCATGCACATTCTGATAGTAAGCCAAACTTCCTGTCATTTTCTGGAAGTTCAGTAAGCAGAACTGATAAGCTACAGTTGTTCACATTAGCAGAGAAGTGAACTATATGGCTTGCTTAATGCAAGCTTTGAGCTGTGTATGCGAACTGTTCAGGCTTATCTTGCTTAACATGGCTCCACTTAACCACCCAAGGTCTGGCTCCTGAAAGAACAGCATATGTTCAGGGAGTTTTGAATGATCTTGAAATAAAATAAAATTTCCTTTTTTTTTTTTTTTTTTTTTTTTTTCTCTTAGCTGCTCAAGGTTGCTTTCAGTATGCAGCTTTATTAGTTGACAGATGAGGCATCGTTGCTTTCATGGTGCTATCAATCTCTTGTGCTCAAAGTGAATTCTTCACGCCATTTTCATCAGTGGCAAATTACTTAATTTTCAAGGCTTCCCTAAAAGACCATCAAAAACGCTAGCCCTGCACATGAACATTCTTATTTGCTGCAGCTTTGCCATTAAAAACCGAGTCTGAGAGCAGAGATAACCGTTTTATCTTTTTTCCCTTCTTGGTGCTTCACCTGTAATCATTTTCCCTATTAATTTGTGTGCATTTTTCACATAGTGGAGAGGTAAGTACATATTAAAATACAGTTCATACATACAGAAGCACTGAAACTCTGGATATGAGAAGTTGCCAAGCGTGTTGAAAATTTTTTGTCTTTAGTTTCCAACTTCAACATCCTTTTAATATATGAGCTCTTATGTCCATGAAAGGAAATCAGTAGTGTTCTTGCAAAGGAGTTTCTCTCCTTCCTCCTCACTTTCTCCTTTATGTGAGGCTGTTTACTCCCTTTTTCACGTTATTACACTCACTAATGTACTTGGTGAATTAAGTGAACATAGTGGAGAGAGGAGGTTGCATACTAGAACAGATGGGCTCGCCAGCCAGGAGTGTTACAGAGGTGATATGAGCCTGAATGGTGTTAGATGGTTACTTATGTTGAAAGGAAGCTCTATAAATTTGTAACTATCTTTTTAATTTTGCAGTAAAACCAGGTGTTCGGTATAGAGAATTGGGAAACATTATTCAGAAACACGCTCAAGCAAATGGATTCTCGGTCGTTCGGAGCTACTGTGGGCATGGAATCCATAAACTTTTCCATACAGCCCCTAATGTGCCACACTATGCCAGTGAGTATTCCCGTTGTGTTGTCCTGCAGACAGGACATGCTTTGCAATGAGCGCACCCAATTTATTTCTTGCTTATATTTTAATAGCACGTTGCCTGACAGCCATCAAGTTAGCATTTGTGCACTTGTGAGATATTTTCCTGAACTCTGGACCATAGAGTGCTTCATGAAGCTAAGCAAGGTGTCTTGTGTCACATACTGAGGCAATCTGTGCCTACGCTAATGATTAGCCCTCGCCTGAACTAGTTAGTGGTCAACATTCTTGCATGAATTCCCAACTAATCCCTCAGACATCAGTCCTTGTCTGCCCCGAATAGCCAAATGTTTCCAGTCAGAAGGTCTAAGTGAAAGCTTAATGCCGTTTCCGGATGTAAATAAGTTTTTTGAATGGTGTAGGCAGGTGGTGTGCCTGGATCTGGTTCCTGTTATATTTTGCTTTTCTCTATTTGAGTGTTGTGGTCTTCCTGGAAGACTTTTGTAGTGTGTGGTAGAGGAGGAGGGACCTGCTGCTCCCACAGGTTCTCTGCTTTAGTTTTTGGAAACAGCAATGTCCCTGGTTTATCAGGGATTGCTGAAAATCAGTTCTGTAAATGATTTTTCAGACAACAGAGAAAATCTCTTAGTCAACAGGTATGAATTCATATTATTTAAGTTTTGTGATGTAAAACGAAGAGAAAAGGCTGCCCAGAGAAGCTGTGGATGCCCCATCCCTGGAAGTGTTCCAGCCCTTCCAACCCAAATCATTCCACAATTCTGAGAATCTGGACTCTGCAGATGGAGAAGCATTTTATGCCTCCACTCAAATGCTTTTGGTGAATCTAACATCAGAAAGTTCCAATGCTGGAAACTGTTTTCTTTTTTTCCTTTAATGTTACTTAAAGTATTGTTACTTAAGGAAATGCAGCATTATCACCCCAAGACTACCTTGACTTCTTTAGTATTCCCGAGTAATGAGGATGTCTTTCATAAATGGAATCATGGGATTACTTGACCGTTCCTTGAGTAAATATATCAGTGTTAGAGCATGGAGAGAAGGAAAAACAACTAATGGAAATTTTATTATAAAAAATAATGGACAAGTGAACTCGATTCGTTTATTACCTAAGATGGGATAAATTTTCTAACCTGGTTGTTTGCTTTATTGCAGAAAATAAGGCCGTTGGAGTCATGAAGCCAGGTCATGTATTTACAATCGAACCAATGATCTGTGAAGGTAAGCAATTTGGCAAAAGCCAAAAATCACTAAACTAAACTGATTCTGCATAATGCCTGAACCGAGTAAAATGGTTACTCATACTGACTCTTAAGAAGCGATGGAATAGGATGCTGTTCCTGTTCTTTTGGGGGGAACTAATATCTGGTCTTTAAATGATGAATTTTTGATTTGTTTAATATTTCTAGGTGGTTGGCAAGATGAAACATGGCCCGATGGTTGGACTGCGGTAACAAGAGATGGGAAGCGATCTGCCCAGTTTGAACACACTCTTCTGGTCACCGATACAGGCTGTGAGATCCTCACTCGGAGGCTAGATAGTATTCGTCCCCATTTCATGTCCCAGTGATAGCAGACTGAGCAGGTGGATCTGAACGATACATTTTTTTTTCTTTTTTTTTTTTTTTTTGTCTCTGTTCTATGCATTTTTTAAGAGTACAGAATAGAGAGGAATTTCATCATTTACTTTGTTCTCACTGATTGTAGATAAGAGAGGAATACGTTGAACAACCTGACCTAATGTCTGGTAAAGCAGAGAAGAATTTAAAGAATTTTCTGCTTTCCTCCTACCTACAACACTCAAAGCTGTATTTTTCTTTTTTCTTCAATTATCTCTTTTGCACCTTTCTTCCAACTAGACCTGCAGTTGCTTCTGTTGCCGCCATGATATTAGCTAGAAAAGTGTGGGTAACCTTTCCCACTGGGACTTTGGGATCCAGGTTTTTTTTCACTACTTCAGTGTGCCCCGTCTCTCTGGGTGTGAGTGGCACCTGAGATTTTAAGCATTTCTAGTTCCAAAGACCTGTTCCTGCTTCTGCAGATACTGTTCTAATGGGCTGGGCCTTGTTTATCAGTTGAGAAGTGGGTGAGGGGAGAGAGACACGCATGTTGCCAAGAGTAGGTGACCATTACCTTTAATTCTGTTCCCATCTCTCTGCTGATGGCCTCCGTGGTAATTATGACTGTAGGTGACGCGCTGTGTTAGTGGCAGGGCTTCTTTTACCAGAGATGGGTAGTATGGGCTTCCTACACGGAAAATTACTAAATTTGGTCTTAAATGCAGCTCCCTGGAACAAGCCACCTCTCTGCGGAGCAGTGCTTGCAGGCAGTTTCTTGCTCCAAATGCTTGGTGAAGCTGATGTATCAGACTTGGCTAGGGAAAGGAATGACACGAGAACCAAAAAGATCCCACGAGAAATGAGATCCCTGCGTGGGTCAGCTGTGGGACGTTTTATAAAGGTACATCCACAGTAGCTGTGGGGGGCTGGATTTGCAAGACTTACAGTGAGATGAGTATATATCTCAAAAGGCCGAGTGTGAGAAGACAAAACACCTTAAATGCTGTTTTTTTTTTTCTTTGGTAGTTCTAAAACAGGTCTTTTTCCCCCAGTCAAGCAATTGAGAGAGTTTTGTGGTTTTAAAAAAGTCTTAGGGGGACATAGGAAAACAGATCTTTGTCCTCAGGCTTTATAGTGGGCAATCTCACAATCAATATGCACTTCTCTATCGGTGGGTCACAGTGAGCTGGGAACTGTCACCTTAACAAGGGTGGATTAAGCCTCTGTCTTCTCTCTACTATTTCTTTTCCCCTGCCCACTTCCTTTCCATTATCTTTGCTGAGGGGATTACTTTTTCTTTTCTTCTCTGAATCGTAATGAAACTTTTTTCAGACCCCATTGCAGACTTAGAAGTCGTACACCACTGTCATGCAAGAAGTAGTCAAACCAATGCAGACATAAAATCATACCATCACGGGCATAAAACCCACCTTTTACCAAGGTGTCTGGTGGATTTATTGCCACATAAGACCCAAGCGTGAGGTACTGGATCCCTTCGGCTCCCCTTGGCACTGCAGAATTTAGGTGGGGAAAAGGGGTTAGTGCTTCACAGAACTGGACTCGCGCGCGCACTACCAAATACCAAATTTACCAGAAACCGTCTTCTCTGCCCTGAGTGCCTCAGACCTCTGTTGCTGTAAGAGTTCCATTGCAATGTTTTCATTACCTTTATTATTATTTTTAATTATGCAGTAAAGTGACCTGAAATGATGCATCTAGAGTGCGTGTGCGTATGCGTGTGTGTGTGTATAGATTTTAACAAAACAGACTGTAGTACTCCGAGTGGAATTACCTGTGCTGAACGAAACGTAACGTGCCGAGGCGGTGGCTATCCTGGAGGTTTGCCTACCATATCACTCGCTCGAATGGTTACAGCGGTCTTGCCTTTTCTATGTGCGTGTGTGTGCGCGTGATGGGGGACTTCAGTTTTGGTCTATAAAATAAAAAGTTGCAGCTGCTTTTAACAGAAATTACATTTTTGTGATCCAAAACGGGATATAGCGTGCTCACTTATATCCAGGATTGCTTGCACTAGCGCAAGCCCACTCGTAGATGCATGCAGCCAGTTCAAAACCAATCTTCAACCTGTGCATGTGTAACCTGAATACCTCTTTGTTGTTGCACCGATACGACCAAATCCAACACTGCAAGTTTTCAACACAGGTAACCTCTGATGCTATGCATTTCTGCCTATGAATTCAAACCACAATTTCTACCGAGTTCATACGATTGCGGTATTTTTAAACAAGTGGAAAGTTTGATGAACATCTCCGCCTTGTTCTTTGAACATGAGGTAACACATCAGCCTGGAGAACAGAACTTATTTAATAAAAATATTGCAAAAGACCTTTTTCACCTATCTAGCTGTAGCCTTGCTTGAACATTATGTATTGCACTTGTGCTGACTGGATGTGGGAAATGATTTGTGTTTGATTTTTGCAGGAATTGCTATCTACTTCAAAAGGAAAAACAACATGATTTTAACTTTCTGATGGTGCTTTTTAGAAGTCGTTCACGCTTACCAAAAAACACAAGTGTGCAATTTGTTCTGAAACAATCTCGGGAAGTGTTTTCCCGTTACTATCATCTCCAATTCTGAAATGACACATGATGGTGTGAAAACTTCATGCTGTTTTTGCAAATTGGCATGAATATTTAAGGAAAGATGATGTGTTAGGTAATGCTGAATGAAAGGAACAGCATGAGGCCAGGGAACAAGTACTAGTTCAGTGCTGCTGCGTTTTCATGTGACAGCAGAGTGTATATGCATTTTACATGCAGTTATTTATTGGAAACTTTTGGTCACTGAAGTCCTTGCATGCGGCAAGATAGTACAATTTCATACAGTACCTCAGTCGCCAAGCGTGAGGTGTAAGGAAGAGGACTTGTGTTAATGAATCCCTCTGTTAGCCGAGCAGCTACAAAGGGATTACTTCAAAGACACTTCATTTAATCAACAGCTTTGCAGAACAAAGTAGTCTGAAAACTGCTACCCAACAGCTAGGCCATCAATTCCTCAGCCTGGGAAGAAACTAAGTCTTTGAACTGAACTCCTCTATTGCTAAATGTCTTTGTTTTCTTGCCCTGGTGTTACAGAACCAGCTCTCCATAAACACCCTAAGCTGCAGGTTCTCCAGAGTAAGAATGTAATCCAGACAGCATAATGGCATGGGCATGATTTAGCATGTGTAACCCAGAGGATCACCTGTTACAGCGTATGCACTTTAGTTCTGTTGCATCCAGTTGGTTTTGCTAAGATGCTGAGCTAATACTGTATTGATATAACCCTGCAGTTACAGAGTGCCCTCCTGGGAACTGCTTATTAACAGTAAGGTTCCTTTTTTTTTTTTAACCTAATTCTCTGATGCTCAGCTGGTATTTCTGGAGCTTATGAGGTACTGAGAATCACCTCACTGCTGTGCAGGAGGGCTTGCTTTCCTGGTAGAAATTCACTTGTTATTTCTTCCAGTTGCTTAACATTCAATTTTTAAAGCCATTCAACAGGAATTAGATTTTGTTGCTTGCTGTGTCTTAAACGAAGTTAGAAATAAAGCTACCTCAACTATTCTTAGAGTGCTCTCAGGGTAACTTTCCAATAACAAATGGAAAAGATGTGAGTGTCCCAGTTGTATAGCAGTGTCTTGGGGCAAGGCAATTATTAGAAGACAATTGCCTCTCACCACTAACCTGATTACTGTTTGCATTGAGAATTTTCTGAACTCTCACTTTAAAGTCTCACTTTTAAAGTCTCATTTTTAAAGTCTTACTTTAAAAATGAAATCCCTCCCTTAATGAGTATGTTTGGCTTTTCATGGATGCAACCGTATTTTAAACGGGGTAGTTTTTCCGCCTCTGTTTGCAGCCTGTTTTCTCTCGCCCCTTTTTCTGGACCTGCCATGCTGCTGCTTCCAGGTTTTGATGCCAAGACATTCTATCCAGTTGGGTCAAAGTATAGTTAAGGGGAGGAAGAAAGAAAAAAAAAAGCCCTGAAATTTCAAATTAAAACACGTAACGCTAATAACAAAAAAAAAAAACAAAAACAAAAACACCACAACCCACCCTGAAGCCTTCCTCAGTCAAGGCCTTTCACTGTTCTTCCCGTGATCTGCACGAGAAAACTGCTGCTCTAACAGTAGTACTCTCTTCTTCAATGGATTGATTCTATTTCTGGCCAACTACAGATAACAATCCCAAGTTAGATTTGTTTTTGTTTGTTTTGTTTTTGCAGTGCTGACTGTAGGCTTCCTCAGTTGCCAGTAAGTTTAAGGAAATGACAAAACTTTCTCTGTGCTACTGAAGCCTTGGAGGGGACGCCACTAAGGCAAGCCAGTGGAGTGCTCCTCTGCTCTCATCTCCAGAACAGCCCTGCCTGCAGCCAGTGTCACGAGCCACATAGCGAATAAGGCAGTTCAGGGACTTGACTGCTCAGGCAAATACAGGTACACCTGAACGTTTAGGTCATGCATCCAACCTGTCTGCTCTGCTGGGTGGCTTCCAGAGAGAGCAGGGTGGTAAATCCTTTGCAGAACAGCTTCAGAAGCTTGAGGGTTGTTGCAGTTCTTGCCCCTCTTGCACTGCAGTTGCAGCACACGACTCTGAAAAACACTCTTCCTCTATTATAATAATACACAGCCTCAAGAAGAAAACAGCGACACAGCCTTCAGCATCTTTACGGTCAGTAATTCCAACACTCTTGTTTAGAAATGAGCTTTTATTAACTATATTGAATTAAGCATTACTGAATTTGAGGAACAGGTACAGAAATAGAAGTTCCAACATCAGTGTTAATTATGTAACACTCCCCAGTGGTTACTGATTGTTTTTTCCAGAAGAAACAGTTATTTAGCATTTATCATGATCACCCTAAAATGTATCATCATCCTCCTCGTCCTGGTGAGTTTGCATTTACCTGATTCTACCCTCTATCAGAAACTCCATTATAAAAGGAGAGTTACCATGTGGCTGGCTGGCAGGAAGGTCCACGTTTGTCTCTAAAACTTGAGGACTGTTCGAATGCTTAAAATGAAAATGAAAAAATAACAATTACAAATACGTCCATTCTCTCCCCTCCCTCCCCTTCACTGTTGAGACATACTCTCACTTAACTACAACTTCTTATAAAAATTAAATTAAACCTCTAATAAGTGTTTATTAAAAATCCTGCTGAAAAATGGGTTGCTAAATGCTCATTATTCATTTTTAGTTCCTCCCCCAAAAGGGCGTACTTAAAATGGAAGAAAGCCTTTTCAAACTATGTGTGTCAGTTTTCAGTAACTATCCATGAATATTGATTATGAAAAATCAATATTTACAGGTTTTCCCTCTTTTGGCTGCTTGGCGAATTTTAAGTAGCTTTCATTATTATCTTAATAGGATATAATCATTTTGATGATTTATTCCTGCATGAGCATAAGATTTTGTAACTGGGTACGGGGATCAACTGCTGGAATAAATTTGCATAGATGATGCAGTGCTTCAAATTTGTAAAAGGTACAAATGTGGTTAATGTTAACTGACTTATCCAAATTAGGAACACAGATAAAGTATCAGGAAAAGCAGAGAAAGTCATTTTTGAGGAAGTTATAGTATCAATATGGATTGAGGTCAAACAGAAAGACTGTTGTGGATTCTTGCAGTAAGGCTGATACCTATTTACCCATGTGTAGGTAAACCAAAGTATGGAAAGAGATTCATGTAAATATGTAGAAAGAGAGTCTTTTTTACTAGAGCATCTCTCCAATTTTCCTTGCCCACTATCTGATTCTTTCTTGAAAACACCTTCTGAAAAAGTATGCAACCTGGACTGCTGATAAGCTGGTTTCTATTCCAAGAGACAGCAGTAGCTATGCCAGTCCATGAATTTCCAACAAGTTACAGAGTATCTCAATACAATTCATATTTCAAAGAGGCCTGTACTTGACAGAGAAGAGCAAACTTTAACATTTCTCAAGTTAAAACTGACAAATCCTTCCGCCTTGGATTTTAACCTGCAGATGCAAATCCTGCCAGAGCATCCCCAGGTAGTCTCTGTTTTCCTTCAAGCACATCCACACCTGTATCTGTACAGGGCTTCACAGGCATCACCCAATATATCCTCTGGTGAGCATACCCTACACTTTGAGCCTTGTGCTACTGCTGCAACCCCTACATGGTATACTGCTATGAGGGCAGCACGGCTCAGTAAGCATCCAGCAGGTTTTTCACCACCTGCAGTGGATGGCAGAAGTTTGCAGTATGAACAGTCTAAACTGCTGTTAACCTTAATGAAGGCAGAAGCTGCTGTTAAAGCGATCTGGCCACATTAAGAAGTACATGTTGGTGTTCTACCCCAGTTCAAACTACAGAAAAATATTGAAAAAATATATATATTTAAAGATCATTCCAAGTGACTGTTTCTGCTGGTAATCTATCCTAAATAATTGTTTGAAAATACACCGAAATCTATTATTTAGTTAACAGCCAAATTAGACTAATGGCTTAATGACTTGTAAAGATGTATTTGTGATAACTCTCCTTCAATCTCTCTACATTTATTTTTTTAAGGAGGAATGTTTAAGCAATACTTTTAGAAATGGAAAGCTAAGACTGGCTTGTCCCCTTTATCAACTTTACTGATCTGCATATTTCCCTTAGACATTGTTGCTTGTTTTCACTCTCTGCCTGTGTTCTGGCACGTGGCGAGGAGCTCAGAAAATGTGCATTTGTCTGAGAATAAAAGTGCATGGTACCTGTCAGCTCTTATCCTACCTGTTTAAAATGTGACAGTGGGCAGGGAACCTCTATCTTGACACTGTGCCCTCAACAAACATCTACACAGCTGAAGTATTATGAACATTACCTCTTTCCTGTATGCATCAGCTCAAAGGCCTCGTTAATTTTGTCAAAAGGCAAGGTGTGAGTCACAAATTCATCCACTTTGATCTTTTTGGACATGTAGTCAGTCACCAGTTTAGGCACGTTGTCTACGCTCTTCCAGCCTGAAAGACAGTGAGCGTACATTTGTTTTTGCCCTTTCCACCCACCTCTGTACAAAGAGGAAGGAAAACATACAACCCTTTTACGGGTTATCATCTGATAAATGTGAAAAGGAACCGAGATTGGTGGTGTTTGTTATTCCTGCTCTACTCAGGCAGTGAATAAGGAATGTCAGAGGGCAGCTAGATCTGGCAAGGGCACACATTATCCAGCCACATTAGTGCACTAACCTTTCACTAGGTATTTCAACGTTTGGCATAGAGCAGCCCTCACCTAGGAGAGCATGCACTAGCATCTCTGTCAGCCCCTTGTGGCTGTAAAAGTCTCACCAGGTTTCTGGTTTGATGGCAGAAAAGGTCTATCAGGACTTTGTTGCTTTTTATTTTCA